GGTCAATGTCTTAGAAAGACTGGGCAAATAAATGGTCACGATGTATATTTTTAGTCTTGCGAAAATAGTGTGCATCAATGGGAATATCCATTAAAGTATATTGTGAAAAAATTCGAGTGGTGTCCTCTATGTCATCATACTCAAGAGCATAAATGCCGATATATTTTTGAGGATCTATTAGGCAAGAAATTTCCACCATGTAGGCCGAATTTTTTGTATGGAATGCAACTTGATGAATATAACGAAGAGTTGCGACTAGGATTCGAATTTTATGGCAGGCAACACTATAGCCTTAATTCAATATTTCATAGGAGAGGCTAGATAGATTTGGATGAACAGAAAATACGCGATCAGAAGAAGCGGGATATATGCAAGGACTAAGGTATATGCCTTATTGAAGTTCTCTATACTGCTGATCTTCTGTCCTATATCGGACATACTTTAATCGAGAAAGGATTCTTGGATAAAGCAAAACCCAATCCTTAAAAGTTCACATGATTTTGGGCGAACTAAGTTCGCTGAAATTTGCAAGATTATTTTAGTATATTATTAGTAATAGTTCGACATGAAAATAAAAAAGCTTGATCAGGTGGATAGAATCGTTCTCTATATTGACGAGATAAAGGATGCGAAAAGATTTAATGGATTAAACTCAACTCCTCAATGGCCCTTTACAGTATTAATCACTGGCCGTACCAATTCGGGAAAAACTAATGAAGTCGTGAACCTATTATTGGAAAACAAGCTATATCGAATGTTTAACAGGAAAAAGGAAGAGACTAGATATATCCAGAATGATGATTTGGTGCTTATTGGACACTATCTCAACAAGCCAAAATATAGGTATCATAAATCAGCATATCAGATAATCGTAAGTAGCCCAAAACTATATCGTGAAGATATCTCATTTCGGGCTATGAAGCCTGATAAAATCCTAAAGCTGGATTCATTCTCTCCAGAAAGAGGTACAGTGGCCATATTTGAAGATGTATGTGCCGATTCAAAGAAAGTTTAGAAGAAGATTGCTCATTATTTTACTGAAGATCGCCACAGAAATATTAGTAGTATGTACATCTCACAGAGTTTTTTTGACTGTCTGAAATTGATAAGAAAAAACTTAAATTACGTTGTACTCTTTAATGAATCCACTTCAGAAAAATTGAGCAGAATTCTCCGCCTATATGCTTATAACTGGCGTAGCATATATAAAGATGTCGTTAACTATTTGACTGATCGCAATTTTATTATCTTTGATTTAACAGTGCCTCCAAACTATCCTCACAGAATTCGAAAAGGATGGGACCAAATTTTTGAAAAAAATGATATTGAATCTTGATCATAGACTATGCAAATGCGCAGGTTGAAATGTATATTTTTTTCTGGTTTCTAGATCATGTTCAGATTCACTACGCCTCTTCGCCCATAATTTCCTTTCATGAGTGCTAGAATATATTTCCGGTTCTATAGTCACATCACTATGCTCCATTTTAGAAAGGATCTGATTAACAAGAGCAATAATTTTCCTGTCCTTAGCGGAAATAATACCCTCCAGATTCTGATATCTATTCTCTAACATGTCAATGGACTTTTCTGCTGATGCAATAGCTTTCTTCGTATCAGGAATTATACTTTTGAATAAAGCTACTGAATCTGATAATTGGATGACTTTCTTACCACTCTCCTCCAAAGATCTGGTCATAGCTACCTCACGAGACTTATATTGCTCTTGCAAGTCGAGAAGCTCTTCAATCTTTTTTTTCAATGCCTGTTTTGATATACACAACTTCTCATTTTCTTTTCTTAACAAATTTTCACAGTCGCTAGTAATAGGCTCAGTCCCCTTCATCTTCTGATGCTCTTTTTTCTTAATATATTTTTCAACTGCCTGATTTAACATATCTTCCACTTCAGGATGAATACTACTTGCCTGTTCCAGCAATAATGGGTATTTTCGAGATGTAAGGCGTCGCCATATATCTATTTTGATAGATCGTGGAAGTTGGTTAAGTTGCTTCGAGTAATATATGTGAAAAGACGGTGTCAGTATATTATTAGTCATTTTATACAGAAAATAAAAAATTCTAAGAATCTAAGAATTCTGAGCATCTCTGCATTCAGGTAATTAGTGTAAATAAATTTACGCGTCAATATCGTGAGAGATCTGCTAGTAATACAACTTCGATCAAATATGCATATGACACCCGATCATTAGTCAACAAGAAAAAATCATTTTGGTAGGGGTGCCCTGGCTGAAATTTCGCCAAATTAATACATGATCATGTCTTTCGTGATATAGATAACAAGTTTTTTATTAATTCATTTCGTGATAATATGTCTTCCAATTTTGCAACTCTGGCCCGCCTTCTCATAAATTCGAAACTAGAAAACAAAGTATCCTATTTATCTTTTTCTGAACAATGTGAAGAAAAGGGATTAATATTCAAAAATACACGTGATTTGATTTTTTCTTATAGCCCGTAAGCGAAATTTGCCAAGAAAATTTTTTATTAAAAATATATGTATGAAATCGAATTCTAATCTATGAATTTTTTGGGGTTGAAACCGTAACTGCCATCTCACCAGAACTATGCTCACTATTTTCAGAATAGGAATCATACAATATCTTATAGATTGTACATGCGACAGCTATTCTTAACGTCATCAAAGCATAGATAAGCAGGTATATGGCACTTGATGAAGTCATATATAACGGAATCGGCGCTTCCTCTATTAGACAGTATTTGTAAATACCCTATTCTCTATACATAGCATAAAGTTCCATAACATCGCCTGCAATGTTTATAGAAAATATAGATAATATCCGCCTCTTAGATGAAATATTAAATACCCTCTTAAGCTTTGATATTTTTCTGGTAGTGTTGATAGAATCTTTAGAAAATCAGATTAATTTTTTATGATCTTGCTGGCGCTTGTCTTGACTGGAATCTGGTCTGCCAGTTTTGAGGTATACAATTTCAAACTTTGCATCTTTCTTTAATTGAATTACAGTTATGTAATCAGATTTTCATGCATATTTACGAGATCCTTTTCGTATAATACTAGCTGAACTCCCCTCTTCACCCTATTTAAGAAAAATCATTAAATAAGAAAAAAAATAGCTCTACAGGATCATTTTATAACTGATACTAGAAGTAGTACTTACCATATATCCCATACAGCAGAATTTCTGGGTAATTCACTCATTACTATATTTATTAATGGCGCAAGTACTTCACAGACATATGATCCTTCGTTAACTAATTTCTCCTTCTTTGTATAGGCTTCATATTTAGGTGACTTCCAGATTTTAAACCTATAAAAAGATCCCACACATTTTTATTATTTATACTGTAAGCTAATATAAATAAAAAAGCAGGGATAAAACTTAAGTGAACTTATAAAGATTCTAGTATCCGTCTTGTTATTTCTTGAAGCCTCTCAGAACTATCTAGCCAATTTATCTTCAACTCATTATGAATTATTTCTCTATAAATATCCATTATTATATCATTATGATCTAGCTTGTATTTCTCGAAAGGTTCCTTAAAAATATCGCAAAATGACCCAGGCATCTTTGTGAAAGGTTCTGATTTGATATCAAGGACTCCTGAACATATTGGATGATCAAATCCAAGACTTTCAACATCTACTTTCTCTAATTCCGTTCCAATCCTTTCCCACATAGTTTTTTCATAGCTGACACTTTTACTTTTAAGCTGATCGACATCACGTATTAAAAGCTCTAAATTTGCGTTCGCATAATCAGGCCATGTTTCGACATCAATCACCAGAGCTTTCATCCCTGTGAGGGAGCATAAATCTTCGAATGCAGTTGCTACTTAAATATAGTTAACTTAACTTAAGCTTAATGTTATTTTGATAAATTTAAAAAAATATACCCTGCGCAGGATCAGATTAGGTTTTCGTTTTCATAAAAAAAAAATATCAAAATGCTAGCAGTAAGTCAGCCAAAATGCGCGCTCGCTGAGGCATATATATAATTAGTTACTGCCATGCGGAAGCGATAGCATCACAACGGACACAGCGCATTCACTAATATATACATATGCAAGAAAACTTAAAAAAATATATCATATCCATCTATTCATTATGAAAATAATTTATTGTCCTTACCCGTTTCGCCAATTTTTTTCCAGTACCAAAACTTTGAAGCTTCTTTATCCGCTCAATATCCTCTGAGGAGACTTGTTCTAATACTCGCTCCAGAATATTTTTAAAGTTCTTTATCTTCTTTTCGAGAATGCCTGTCCATTCACTCTGCTCTACTCATACAAATAATGCTGTAGAGATTCTGACAATATCAAGGGATTCTCTTGTTAAAAGAAATTCTTCCATGTTTTAATAGAGTAAAGGTTAAATGTTAGTGAAAGCTCTGTTAAGCGAAGTAAAAAAAATAATGTAAAAGCATAATAAATGACCTCCTTCTAGGCTTACAATCATATTGGGAAAGAGACAGGAGAATATGCAAGGTACTTTACGCCTGTGTTTGTAATTAATGGCATGTAGAATGTGCATTGAAGATCTCAATATTACATCATATATATTTTAACGAGGATCAGAAATGTGCTAATTCAGAATTATTATCCCAGAATAGGCAAATCAGGTTTTTTATCCTGTAGGTGATACATTTCACAATTATACTAGGCGATCATGCAGATTATATTTCACAAAAAAATAAATTATATCATGAATAAGTTATGTATAGTGTATTTGGCTAAATATAGTTGAGATAAATATAATATTTAATCAAAGTCTATTTCCTTGCATTTTTCACGCAGAAGCAGTCCCTTTAAGACTAGCCTAAAATACTCCTATATTTAGTTATAGGGCAGTAAATGATAAAATCGATTTTTTGTGTACTTTTCATAATAGCTAATACTACTTAACAATTTAATCAAAAACCTTTCTGAGAAATCAGGATTAGATCCGTATACTACCTTATCTAACCGTCGTCTTAACTGATATTTCTTAGCTTCTATTCATCTACTAAGAGAATAATAAACATATTTCTCATATGGTGGAGTACATTTGGCTAGATTGATTATTCCAATATACTGTGAGTAATGTTTCTTAAATAAAGCATAAAATTCATCACAGGCTATAGCATACTTTTCTTGCGTCTCAGGATTTTTTACCATCTGTCCTTTATTAATCATATCTAAATATTTCTTACTATCAGAAGTACCATCATTTCTCACCATATTCCAGTCTCGCTGTACTCTTGTCTCAGGTCCTAACTTATAACTCCACCAAGCCTGTTAGATAGCTCTTGCACTATTTAAAACGTGATATACCATTCTTTCCATAAATTCTGGCCAATCAGGATAATGACCTTCATAGTTTTTTTTATATGCTAAATAAACATTATAAAGTTCACCAATCTCATAACGACTAAGCACTTTTTTATTTTTTCATTTCCATAATATAGATCTAACATATACGATACGCCTTAGCTCTATTTTAGCAATGCATTCATTCAGATGCTTATCTGCGCATTTCTCGATATTTTCAAAGATAAATATTAAGGAATCACATGCAGTACAATAAATATGAAATGTACATCTTCCAGGTTCAAATTTCACATTTTCATATAATCTATCAGTCATATGAATATATTCATTCTTTGAAAAGATTCTTGGGTTATATTCGAGAAGTTTCTTAAATGAAACACAAATATGGGAACATCACATTTTTAGCGTTTCATCATTATATCTGTAATGCAGATTAGTTATTGCTCGTACTATTACAGGATTTAAACTAGAATAGTAGCTAGTTTTAACTATTTTACAGGTATAGAAGTTTATAGCAATTTTAGTGATATATAATATTTTTAGCGAATATTTCTTGTTATAGCAGTTTGTAGTAAGTATATTATAATAAAGTATCAGATTCATTTTTATTTGATTAACTTCAGGGTGGAAACAGATTTATAACTGATTTTTTGATTCGGTTAAATTAGATCCAAGACAATATATATAATATGATCATTATTGTATTACGATACACTTAACTCCTTTCCAGTACCTTATTAGTCCCCAACGCTCTCCTGTTACTTTCGATTTGTAGATCTCTCATGATTAACAGGAGATTAGTCAGAGGCGTTTCATATGATGTATTTATACAGGATGATCAGTTATTTTTATACTGATGACTTCATATTAGCAAGAGCTTTTTCTATTCCCTGCACCTGCGCCTTTATTTCATTAATTACATGCAAAATTTATTATAGGATTAGCTGATTTTCAGACTATAGTGAGAAAAAAGGATTAGTTTATAGATCTCTCATGATTTTATTTATTCGATAAGCAGTCATACAGCATTTACAGATACACAGCGATACACGAGTTAATATACATGAATAAAAAAAGGAGAAAGGTCCGATATGAGCGAACTTTATTATTTTGAATGGCATACAAAAATAAATGAATCTACTGATCGCAAGGTCAGCAAGTCACATAATCATGTGACGCAGTAATAGACTCACTATTCTCTAAAGTTATCTATGATATAATCGATTTTTTCTCAACTTAATTTTGAAATTGTTAGTGCTAAATATGATTTAACTTGTCGTATCTTATCAACACTAATTTCGAGGAATAGCTCATATATTTTTTGAGTTCTCTCTGTTTGCTTTTAGCGAGTAGTATCAGTAACCCCCTCAGGCAACTGCTCCTTAATTTCTTTATTTACCTTACTCTGAGCCATGCGGTCACGATTAGAGTTCTGAATGAGTCGAGTTAAGTCGAGTTTAAAGACCAACTCTATTTGACTCATTTTTTTTGAGTCGAGTCGAGTCGAGTTTAAAGATTAACTCTATTTGACTCATTTTTTTTGAGTCGAGTTGAGTCAAATTTATTTTATAAAATCTTTCAATTTGATTTGATTCAAGTTATATAAATTTTAAACTCGACTCAATTAGACTCGACTCGATTTTAACTCGATTCGATTTTGAAAAAAAAATAATAATAAAAAAAATGAAAAGAACGATTCGGGTCATCGTTCTTCTTAAACGATTTTTTTTATCGTTCAAGTCGAACGATTCGGGTCATCATTCTTCTTGAATGATTTTTTATCGTTCAAGTCGAACGA